ACCAGTCGGCATTGTTTATGGTCGGAACGGTATCTGACCATCTTCGAACCTCTGACTTTCATTCTTGATTAATGAAAATATTCTTGGCAAATGCTTTCACTTTCATCCGTCCAAGAATTTCACCTCTAGCAAGTCGTCCTTAATCATGGCCCTGGATCAGGAAACCCACGAAATAGAACCTAATCCTAGCTGAAGCATTCAGGCAACCAGGCCTGCTTTTAACACTTTGACTTTTTCAAAGTAAATGCTTCGGACCCCGCGGGACACTCAGTTAAGAGCATCGAGGGGGCGCCGACCGGCAGGGGCCGGGACAGGCGGTAGCTCACCTCGCGGTGGACCACCAGCCTGATCCTGAAATCCAACTGCAAGCTTTGGAGCTGGAATTACCACGGCTGCTGGCACCAGACTTGCCCTCCAGTAGATCCTTGTTAAAGGATTTAAAGTGACTCATTCTCATTACGGGACCTCGAAAGAATCCTATATGGTTATTTTTCGTCACCTGTGGTCACCGTGGTAGACACTTATAGTACCATCGAAAGTTGATAGGGCAGACATTCGAATGAGATATGACTGCTGCTGAGGCACACGATCATCCCGAGGTTATCTAGAGTCACCAAAGTGCCTGGGGTGTGGGCGCCGCCAGATGGGTTTTGGTATGATACTTCTTCACAGGGTCAGAGCTCGTTTGTATGTATTAGTTCTAGAATTGCCAAAGTTATCCAAGTAACGATTGGAGCGATCAAAGGAACCATAACTGATTTAATGAGCCATTTGCAGTTCCACTGTACTGGCCGTGCATCCTTAGACATGCATGGCTTAATCTTTAAGACAAGCATATGCTACTGGCAGGATCAACCAGGTATCCAATCCACCCACAAAGAGTCACTGTGACTCAGCATAGAGCACCGCCTGCCACCCCACGCACCCAGACTGGACTTCCTTTAATTTTCTTTCCCCATCTCGTCGGAGGCCTGTGCCTCACACTGGGACCAGAGAAAAGCATCTTGGGCAGGCGTGGGGATGGGTGCTAGCGAGGGGTTCACCTAGTTCATGGATGTGTGCCACTGCCGTGTGGGGTTCCTATCACAGTGATAGGAAGAGCTGACATCGAAGGATCAAA